CCAGTATTTGTTCTTAATTTTGATTTGATGATGTGATTTTTGATTACTTTAATTTTTGTTCTTTGCCATTTAAATTTAAGACTCGCGCTCACACCGATCATGAGGCTGCTACTGATGGCCGAATAGCATTCATGAAAGAGCCAAAAATGAGAGCCGAAAATTTGCCTCCTCAGACGCCGTTGTGCACTCTTGCAATCACTCTTCCCGAATACACTGGGCCGGTAATACTATAAAAGCATTAACATTATGTACAGGAACATAAATATGTGAAGGGAAATGATTTTTAATATGATGGGAAAATGGCAGAAGTTGTTTTAGTGAAGAACTTAATTGTAGATTTTAGTAGAAAAAATTTCGTATTCGCAATGAGTCAAAAGTGATTTGCATGTGCACTTTTTTGCAACGTTTTTCGTATTCATGTAATTCTGCTTCTTGAAATTAATTCTTTAGGAACCAATGGTTCCCAAAAAACCCTTCTCTTCGGAAACTCCTTTGAGAGAAAAATACATTGGAGCTTTCCATGAAACTGCTGAGCCTGATGATTTGCCACTGCCACATGTTGCGCGATTAATTGGTGCTGATTGGCATCGATTGGCTCGAGCGCTCGAAGTACCCGATATTGATATACGACAAATTCGACATCAGCTTATTGGCCTTGAAGCAATTACTATTCTGCGTATTTGGATATTTTTAAAGAAAGAACAAGCTACGCGTAAGTTTTGCTCAACAATATGAAGTATTAGAAGAAAAAACTTGCTAATGGTTAAATGTTTTATTCGGAATAATGAAATTATATTTTACGGTAGTTTCTGAAATACTTCCTTAAAATTGCAGCTGCTGCTTTGCGATCAGCTTTACAGCGAATAGGGCGTGATGATGTTGTACGGGAAATGAATCGAGCTGAAAAACCAGATGATTTTGAAGGGACACCTGCATCACATATTTCTGGACCCTCAGCTACTATGTTAGCCACTTCGCTAGAGGACGCTGACGACAGACGTCGTTACCCGGAAGTACGATTGTTATGGTTTTTTGATACTTGTTTTTCTAATTAATAGCTAAAAAACATCTGATATCTTTAAAGGTAACAACACAACAACTAAAGATGCAGGAACCATTTTTTCAACAGACAAAATATTATGGAACAGATAGAGATATGGAAGAACCGAAAGAGCAGCCATTCCGCGGTAATCCATTTCTTTTAATGGATAAATGCAAATTTTTGAAATATGAATGTCTTCATTCTCGGTATGCAATGGTGTAGTTATTAAATTTTTTTGCAGAAGAGGAAGAGGAGGTTGCAGTTTCAGAAATTCGAACAGTTGTGCGCACTGAGCGACATGTTCATGATTCAGAAGATGGTGAGCGAAGTTTTGATACTGGTGGGTTCTAGCTGGTTTTGATGGTACTAAAACTTTATGGAGTTTGTAAGAAAGACATTTTATTGCAGGTCCTATTGTAGAAGAACGCACAATAACAACTACATATGAGGATGATGTTGCTGTAAATGAAGAAATTGTTGACAAGATAGTGCCTCTTAACGAAGAAGAGCAAGAAAAATGGGATCGAATGGTTCAAGAAGTGGAGATGAATTTGGAGCAGCAAGTAAACACTTTTTCAGTCAACTCTGATTTGTTGCTCTGATTTTGCAGTACACTAAACAGACTTTTAATGCTTGGCTTTTTTTAGATGAGTCTTGATTTGAGCTAATTTTTTCCATTGTGTATTATATACTTAAGATTCGCAACAATAATGTTAGATTTGCTCAGTGGATTCAATTACTGGTTTTAAAAATCATAGAGACATTGCACTACTATAAATAATACTATAAAGAAATATGGATTATTTCGTCGTATGAAATGCTTGTTGAAAAGAGGATAATTACTTGCAGGAAGAACCGAAAGAAGAAATGCTTGATTATCAGATACATGAGGAGAAAAAAGACGGTGATGATGTCACTCTGAAGACCACAAAAATGGAGAGCGGTCATGTAACGCAGGTTTTACCAGGTGATGCTGAAATACCCGCTAATGAAACAGGATTAAATAGCGGGGACGCAAGTATTGCTACGATTTCGGCGGAAAAGGAAGATGATCATGTTATAGGTTTGTAATTTTTTTCATAATTTCAACTTATTTCCAAACCAAAAAGTAGTCCTTTGACGTACAACCTTATATTTAAAAAAAGAAAAAAATGGACCATGGAATAAACTGTAACTTCCGATACCTACTATGTAATTTAAATCGTATTATAGTGATTTCTTTCAATTATGAATCATTTGGTTAGGAAAGGCGGGGGTAGCTTAGGTGTTCTTTACTCCGTTCAAATATTTGTACCTCTCCCGCTATGACTGTTCTAATGTGATATAGGAGCCTACTTATGTGGTCGATCTTTTAATCGATTTGCAGTCCAATATAGGGAAATTGAACCGCCTAGTAGGCTTCACTTTTTTAATGAATATAGAAAATTGTTTATTTTTCCGAAAAATGGCTCCCTGAGTAGATATGCTGACTGACGTAAAAATCGGTGATAGGTAGTCAAACATAGTTAAAAAGAGTGTATGCTTCTGAGGTCTCATTGCATATTTTCTTGCGCTGTTAATAACTGCGAGGGCGTGGACAAATTTATTCAATAAAAAGAAATATTTTTATTCTGGGGCATTCGAAGAAATCGGTATTTTGATATCCTTTATTATTGGACTTGGAGGAAGAACAGAAATCTTGATGAGCCTCCAGATAGCCTTTATTCTAATGTATTTGATATAAGTCTGCACTTCTGCCTGCTGCACACAACGCTTTCATATGTGTTGGAGAGGAGGGTGCGGAAGTTGATATGAAATGAAGGACCATTATCTGTACAGCTCTTTCTTCCATTGCTTGCACTATTGCTAAACATTTCCTGTGATACTGTTGGAGTTAATCTGTTAACGCTGATGTTGATGGCAGCTTTGTTCTTGGTGCTATAAACGATCTTTGTCGTAAAAGCTGCTTATGTATCTGTTCTGTAGTAGTAATAAGGAGAGGGTGAATAGTTCTCGAAGGTCAAAGTGAGTCAGCTGTTTTGCATATCATTTCTGTACTATTTGAGATAATCACTTGCGAGATTGTGATCAATGAGGCATTGGAAGAGAGAGTTGTTTTGAATTCGTTCGAAAACAGGGATGGAGAACATAGTGTGCAGCAGAAGACAAGCATCAGTGCAGCAGCAGTAGCAGTAGCACATGATGCCGTTGATTTTTCAGACGTGATGGAGGAAAGGCGAACTGGTGAAGAGGCCAAAGGGCAGAGCGTTCATGAATAATGTGGATCCACAAATTGATTTAAATTGCAATCTCGCATATGCCTATGTTACTAGTACATAATGAAATTTTGCAAAGCATCATGATTTGAGTGCTCTTTGGGTTTCCCATATTGTTAAAGCATTTTCCATCATCCACTCACTTTTTGTTGCTGCTGTAGTCTGTAACTGCTACTCTTGATAAATTTGCTCCAGTATCTGACAGGGACACATCAAGCATAACAGCTGACTCTTGTCTACTCATCACCTCCCCTTAGCCCTCTGTTTTCTCCCTATCCTTTTAGTGCTGAACAATGTCCGATTCAGAGGTTGCCACACCTAACCTAGTCCTCGCCGGAATAACTGATTCCGGTGCTATTATCTTTAATGGGGTCATGCTGGATTCTTATCGCTTGAGCACCAGCTTGTCTTTTCATCATATAGAATCTGTCACAAAATTCACTGCTGAAGAAGAGACATCACCTGAACGTGAGCAAATCACCGATGAATCAGGTGTTATTGCTGGAGCTCCAGCGGTAACACCTGTATTTCATGGTGGGAGTATGAGTGAGGAAACTGCGACAGAGCAGTGGGGGAACCATACAGTGACTGCAGGAGTGGATCCACAGATCCAGGTTGAACCAGAATCGAAATATGAACAAGATACTGATATGATGAAACCAATTGCTTCGAGCGGTCTGTTTGAGCGCAAACGAACTTCTTCACTTGCTGCTGCACTACTTTCCGGAGATCGCGAACCCGGATATAAAGCATATGTGCAATTTGTGAGTCCCCGTGGTGTAGCACAAGTGATAGAAGTCTGTGATGATGAGGAGGAGTTCGATGGGATCGAGCAATCTGCTGAGTCTGTTATAGGCCGTTTGCTCTTTACACTGCGTTCACTGAAAATGAGCAACCCTGACCGGCACGCAGCTGCAGTTCGTCGCTTGCAGGATCTTGAAGAAGAATTACGTGCTGCCGGGGCTGTTTGTCCTCCAGATACAACTGCTTCTAATGCTGTCTCTAAGATACTTGCTTCAGCATCACCCACTTCTGATATTCAAATTCGTGTTAATTCCTCACAGTATATCACTACCACGAAATCGGTTTTTGAAACGGAGACACCTGGCATGGAAGGTCTTAATGCAGCAACAGTGCAGCACTTGCAACAACAGCTTATATCAAATATGAGTCAGATTTGCTCTTAGTGTGACTTTTATATGAAATAAAAGGCCCTGTGTTTTCTTCCCCTAAATAATGCTTCATTTTGCAACTTGTGTTTTTCTTATTTATTTATCACTGGTAGCATTTTAGGTGTGCCGGAAACTCCTTTATCTTCTACAGAACCAAATGTTCCAACAGGTGAGTTTTTCCATTTCTTTATTGTGTAGGTTCGTCTTGCCCATATTTAATTCTTCTCTTTCGCTACAGAACTTTTCTGCATTATTTCAGTCAAAATTAGTGTGGCATGATGCGGTGTGTGTGAAGGATTTCTCAGCATAAATTCTTTTTTGTACCAAAAATTATCAATTGAAACATATTTTTTGAGTCAGGAGAGAGTGATTGCAATTAGGAGATGTGAAAAGAATATCTCCAACTATCAGATGGGAATAACTAATCCCAGAATTGTTAAGTAATAAGTCTTCAATTTCAAGTAACTGATCAGAAGCATGAAACTATGGCGGAGGGCTTCACAAGTGACGACGGCTCCGTGGTTGTGTCAAAGAAGATGACGCGCGTTGTAACTACAACACGGACAACACTTCCAGGTTCATACACGCCCTTTTCAACGTAGCAGTCCTTGCATTTTTTTATTTTCAAAATGAATACGTAAATATGAATTAATTCTGTAGTATTTGTCATCTTCGAAAATGCCGCTAGTTATTGCAATTTCCTTAACGCAGTGAAATCCCATCATTTGCCCCTTCCGGCTAGAATCCAAATGCTTATTGCGTGCTGCTAAGTGTCAGTGCAATACATTTTTATTGACAAAATTTTATTTTATAATTTTGATTTTATTCTGCTTCTGCCTAAAGTGTAGCGCATATGTGATGCACATTGCACTTTTAAATATGAAGAGCAAGGCAAGTAATTATTAGTGCGATCTGCGTAGGATCTGCACCAAAAGTTTGCTCGAAACTTATGGATTTTGTTATATTTGATATTTCTGTTATCCCTATAGTTTTGGTGGCATTATTAGCTTATAAAATCTATGACGCAGTCTATCATTAATTAGAGAAGTAGATTCAGTTCGAATCAAACAATTTTATTATTTTAGCCGTTAGCAGACTTATTTCTTTGAAGCAAACCAACTTTTTTACTCTTTTGTTTGGAATATGAGGATCGTAAATTATAGATAGTGAAAATTTTAAATAAGTGAAAAATAGGGCCAAGCTGCTTGCTAATAGTGCAGCACTATTAGTATTGCCGGTATTTCTGACTTTTCTGCTGAACTGTTGAAACTGTGTTGCAGGAGAGAAGACGGAGGCGAATGCGGGTGAGTAAAAGATGAAAAAAATTTATATGGAACATCTTGCAATGTGCCACCTTTCTAGTGATAGAACTTTTACTATTGCTGCATGTACGCGGAGTGCACTCTTTTCGTTATGCAAAATTGAGTGTTCATTCAAAGTGGATTTACTTTTGTTTGTTTGTTTTTGTGATGTTTATCCTCGTAGTCATTTTGCTTGGTTATGTTTATTTTCAGCGTTGTTTAGGCCCTAGCCTTTTAGTAGATCGGTCTGACATGCTTTTGTTTTATTTGGAATTTTTATTAATTACAATGAATCGATGAGATTCATTACAACTGTTCATTTATCGCTCACGTTTTCATTTCACTCAAGAATGCATTTACTTTGGGTACGTGTTGGTGCTACTGGTTGATTGGTTGGTGTTATGTTCTTTTCACTTGATGCTTCCTTCACACTTCCTTTTGGTCTTCATTCAGGAGATTTGATACGATTGAAAGTGAACGAGCAGGTGTACTCGGGCAGTGTGGATCCCGGTGACCAGCACATACATTTGGTACCAATTAGCAAGCAGCAGCAGCAGCAAAAACTGGATTCAAGCGAGCAGCAACAGCAACAAGAACCGCAATAGAATTATAGTCCTTCAAGAGCATTACTTATACACATTGCAATTATTTTTCGTTTTCTTCTTGTTTGTTCGCTTGTCTTAGCACTACTTTTCTATAGTCTATTTATTGTTATCACAGTAAATGATATTGTTTGCACGACCCATTAGAAGTTATAGACCGGTGTTGTGAAATCTCATTGCTCAGTTCTGAGGGAGAACCCACGAATTCTTGAGAATTTTTCCTAGTAAGCAATTCGAAGGAAGGAAGTAATAAAAGACTTAATAAAAAAGCAAAAATCTCGGAGCTGTCTTTGAAAACAAATTGCCTGAGTTGTGAAATCAACCTAGAATTAGTGCAGAAAATATTTCTTATCTACTTTCTTTGCAATTATTGTTATTATTCAAGTGCATGTTTATCATTTGGCAATTGCTGATGCAACCGGCGCTTTTTTGTCATTTTTTTGATTCTTTGAGAAACAAAAACTTTATTATGCTGTTCCTATCATTTATTTTCCTTTTCATTCCAATCTTCACAAACGTCATCGTTGCTGTTGCTACTGCGCCTGCTCCTATCACTACTTCATATTTCGGTTGTTAGCTAAATTTCGTTTGGAAGTTGAAATGAAATCTTATTATTGAACAAGTATTGGAAAATTATACTCTTTATCATATTAAGGCAAGCTTTATTTTATATAAGTAAAGATTGAGGAGTAGGGGGTGGAGTGCTTGTCGTTACTGCAAGAATGTGGCCGCACCTACCCTAATTCGTGATCCCACTCAGTTCGTCTATTGCAGTTAAGCTGTTTAGAAACTGACGAACTGCTTTGGAAATTAATGCATTGATATGAGTATTTACTTATCAAAACATGAAAAGAATATCAAGTCAATATTCTTGCTGAAGCTGTAGATCCGAATATTTCTAAAGCGTAAACACGTCTAACATGTTACGCATGCCATCAAAAAATATAGATTAAGCAGGAACGAAAAAATTTCAATGTTTTGGGAGCGGGTTTACTGAAGGAGGTGTGGAGGCGTGTAAAAATCGTCGGCGTTCTGGTGGCGGCGTGTCATAGGATTTTCAAAGTAGAGGTACAATACTTCAAATAGGGAATCTGTTAGCTCTATTATTCACAAAATGAGGAGCTCCATTGTTTGGAATTGTTTGTAGGTGTGAGATCCGTTGTTTCCAGCTAGAAATATTACAAATATTGCAAATGAATGCATTTGCAAGAGACAAATATTAGAAATAGTTATAAAGTTTGGATCACTGCTGCTTCTAGATGAAATTGACATTAAGCGTCTGAATGGTTGAGCTGTAGATTTTATAGCTAGATATCAGAAATAGATTTTGAATAGCTTTTTTTAAATAAGCAAGTGGTATCCCAAAGTTTGCAGATATTTGAGTTTTTGTGGGGATTGAGCAGGGAGAGGGAGGAGAGAGGAGACACACCAATTTTCATTATCAAAATTAGGCAGTCATTTTATACTGCAGAGGAGAAGTCATAAGCATTATGCTATCAATCAGAATTGATCAATTTCTGAATTTTCCGTTATATAGTTGAAGCCCCTGGAAAAACAAATTTGTGTGAAGTTTTTCTGAGTTAAAATGTAATGGGCTGTCAAGAATACCGAGGCTTTATTTGTGGAACAGTTACCAACCACTTAACCTCTCCGTTTAGAAGAAAGGTGGTTCTATATCAGAATCACTTATCATAGTATTCTTATTTATATACATATCTCTTTATTCCACTTCATTGCACTTTATACTTCTCTTTACTTCCAAGCTGCTGCAATATTCTCCACCTATCGTTGAATTATTTTGTTCCATTTACTTGTTGGTTAAATTGCCCCACTTTATCTTGCTTTATCTTGCAATACCTTTTTTGTAGCATGCCTAAAACTATCAGGAATATAACTCATCATAGTATATATATAGTATTGCACCATTGTTACTCCTACAACACAATCCGCCTTACTGGGATTTCATAGAGACGATATTGATAGCACTACCAAAAAGCATACGTTTCGAGTAACTTTTAAAACCGTTTCTTCAATTTAATAAATTTGAAACATTGTTATTTACACTTATAACAGGCGAATACATAGATTCAATCCTGTAATCATCGATATAAAACATGTAGACTTACCGACCAGTGCTGACGTGCACAACGCATTTGAGTCAAGGTCAAGGGTGAGGATATTCATTTTGTTTGAGATGAGGATACTTTAAAAAGCTCTAAATGGACGGATATGATAAAAATTTTGTGTAAGGTCTGGAACTGCTCACTTCTGCCATTCTTCCTGCAGTATGTAAATGCATAAAAATTGTGCCACCTGTATGAATCATGAAAGGCATTAAACAAAAATATTCGTGGTGCACTACAGTGTCTTTTTATTTTATCCGAATCGATGCATCCGGCTTTGGGAGCTCCAATTAGCGATTTCCATGTGTTCAGAACTGTTTCGACATCATTTCAGGGTATATTTGCTGTTACTTGGTTGAAGTACGTTGTTCGCTGGATTTTTTGTTCTCTGTACTGTTATCATACAAATTCTTTATTTAGACTAAGTGATGCACTGTTTTTACTGCATTAAGACAAAATTCATTCTCAACACACATTTTTTCAGGATCAGCTCCGAATGCTCTTGATACGATAGGGTCAGTCAGGCAGCGTATTGCTATATTTGAAACACTATCAACGGGTAACAAGCTTGCGTCAAGTCGTAAATCAGATAGTCCACCAGAGGTAGCGGAAGTTTCAAAGCATGAGAAGCACAGTCCTTTTTGGGAAGGACCCAGTGAACTTTATGAGAAACCGAAAACAATACCTTACAAGCCGGAAAGTGATCAATCCGATGCAAAAGAGACTGGCAAGTTATTTTTATTCTCTCAAATTGAAAAAACTGGTCACTTAGATGGGATGACAAAAGCACAAAGCAAAACTTATGGCGGGTATGATAAAACTCAAAAAGGTAGGTGTGATGTACAAAAATACATCTATGAATCGGATCGGACAGCTGAATCAAGTCAGCCTTATGAAGTACAAAAATACATACTTAGTGAACATAACGATACGTCGGAAACGGTAGTTTCAGAATGGATGAAACAGAATGATGAGAATAAAAATGTAAAAAATATAGGAAGGCAAAAATTGGCTAAGTGGGAACAAGAACAGGGCACTGGTCTTTCTAATGACTTAGAAGTGGTCATGCAAAGACGATTCGAGAAAATAGTTGAGGAAGGGGCAAAAAAATTCAGGGAATTGGAAAACAATACAGAAAACGAATATATCCTGAAACCGATTACTCCTTTAGAAATTAAGTTGCAACAAACAGTAACGCAAGAAGTATTTACACAGAAAGGGGACCAGGAAACGTATTCTGAAATCCATGCAGTTGAACGATGGGAAATCATTGATAAGGACGAACTACATGCGGTTACTAAAGTTGAAATCGTGGGAAAAGAAGTCAAATCAAAAGGAAGTGTTTCTGCAACACAGGAAATTCCTGCAATAGAGACAACGATAGATTCCGAAAGTACTACTTGGAAAATACTGATCCCAACTGAGAAAGACTTTGGGCTAGAAAACGTTCTTCCGGAAAACGACACTATAAAAGATAAAGCACTTATACTGCAGTATACTAAAGAACTTCCTATGGAAAAACTGAACCTCAAGAAAGATGAACTTCCTAAAAAATTAGCTGAGAAAGGTGATATATATAGCAGGATGATGAAAGATGAAGAATCTATAGCAACATCTACTGCTGAAAGGTCGGAGCTAGATTTCTTGAAGAATAAGACTGGTGAACCGGAAGTGATTGTTTTATCACCTCATAAAGAAATGCGCAAAGATGAATTGAATGTCACCGATATATTATTGGAGAATCCTACGAAAAAATCTTCACCTTTCTTTTACGAATTATCTGAAAACAGTAAAAAGAAGGACGTTGAAATCGTCGAAGAAAATGAAGTGTTATACGAAATCAGTGAATCAAAAAAGCCTCTCTTCTCAGAGCAGAAAGTTACTTTTACAGAAAATGGCTTGTTTAAAGAAGCAAATATATTGGAGATATCACCTGTCAAAGAAAAAGTGAAGCAAAGGGAAACATCTATAGAAAGCAATGAAATAAGTGATGAGATCTTACAATCAGAAAAATTAAAAGCTCAGGGAAATATAGTAAGTATGACCCGAGACGAAGATCTTATTGGGGAAGAGAAGAAACTACATACTCTGTTACAAACTATAACATTTCAAGACACGTGTAGCTTACCCACTGAACAACATTTCCATGTAGAGGATTATCGAGAAATATATGAGGACACTCCTCATAAAGCTCTGTATGACGAGGACGAAAAACCGAAATCCTTCAAGAAAAAAGAAAAAAAGGATGATACTAACTTTGATATTGTAATGCAATTAAAAATGAAGGAAGAAGTGGTATCAACAAAAACCGAAGAGCCACATAAAGTTAAAACTGAGTTATTTGAAGAAGATGGCTCCGATGATGATGAGAATTGGAAGGATAGAAAAGCAATGAGTAAGCTGATTATAAATACTATAGATGTAACCAAAGAAGATAATATATATCTAGATGACAAAACCAAAGGAATAATAGAAAATGGAACTGCCGAAAGTGCCGTAGATAAAGCAGAAGCAGCTGTTAAGAGAGATGATATCGGAAATATATTTTTGTCGAAAAATCAATTTCTTATCGAAACATTATCACAAAAGCATTTTCCAAAGGCAGAGACCTGCTGTTATGAGAGACAACAAGGAGATTCAGAAGAAAGTGAAAAAGCTGATTTTGAACTTTTACTGCCAGAAAGAGAAGTTGAAAGTGTTCCAGAAAAAGAAACGTCCATTGCAGTTAGCGAGAGATTAATAGATTATCAATGGACAAAAACGGCAAAGCAGGAAAAGATGTATTACATGCAAAACACTCAATTAGAGTGGTTACTTAAAGATGGGAAGTATCAATTTCAAGAAGATGAAATGGATAAACCGAAAATGATCTCCTTGCGAAGGGAAAGACAATTTGATGAAACGGGAGATAAAACTAGCCATGCAAGGAAAGACCATTACTCTCCGCCGTTCGCTTCTGAGGAAGCCATAAATAAGCCAAAACGATTTCATTCTGCACAACCATATGTTGAACTATCCACCACTACAAGAACGTCACAAATGCAAAATTATAAGCTTGGGGATACTGAAGCACTCATACATCAAATAGTAGGAGGTATAAAATCTGCTTCAATTGAAGATATAGAAATTACTGTGCAGCAGGAAGTGCGAGCACATCACGATCAGCCCGAGAATATAGAAACCTTTATCCAAAAGGAAATGCTAGCAAATCAAGAAATTGAGGGTGGAGTGAGAAAAAAAAAAATTGAGGTGGAGGAACCGAACACAACATTCATATGTATACTTAATTATAATGAAATGAGTAGCGAAAGTGAACATTTAAGACAAGAAAGTTGGGATAAATCCTATAAAAGTCCTATTATTAAAGAAACTAAAGAAGAAGAAGTAGAGGTACATGACGTGAAATTGCAACAAATCAAAATGGAATGCTCAGAAAACAAAATGGAGAAAGTGGAGGAAATTTCAAGTAAATCTTCGCAAAAAAAAGAAACAACAGTAGTTAGAATGGAAGCAGAATCTATAAAGTTAGAGAAAATGGAAGTTTCCACAACACTGCTCGGGGGAGTAAAAAAATCTTCGAGAACTGATGAAGTTGTAGAAGAGCCTTTAGAAACTGCAAATAATGGATTTTGGTGTGATGAGAAAATGGATGAACGTTTGACAGAATATAAGGAAGACGAAGTGGATGAAAGTATGAAAAGAAGTGGTGAAATTTGCGTAGATCAACCTCATTATCAAAAGTTTAGAAAAAGTGTTTTAGACAGGCCGGAAATTCTGATTAAAACAGAGGAATTATATAAGTTCCCACATAAAGAAGTGGGTTCGAAAGTTCCGGGAACGACGAAGAAAGAGCGAGAAGTTAAAACGAGAGAAGAGCATAAACAGATATCGGAATATCCGGAGTCAGTAGTTAAAACGGAAGAAGAATGGACCAGTAAAAGTATAGAAACCATAGATGGACATGCTGAATTGGAACCTCATTCAAAATGGCCAGAAGTGGAAAAATCAGTGCAGGAAACTTTAATATCTGCTGCAGAAAAACTGGCTAATGAAGAATTTTTAGAGCAAATTGAATTTGCAGGAGAAGGTTCAAGAATGGAAGCAGATGCAACATTTAATTCAGAAGAAATACAAGATGTTATCATGAGCGATGATGATGAAATTTTTCAGCATACATTTTTAGACTATCCTGACTTAGGAGAATTGAATTTCGAGAAAGTCATTGAGGGGATTTCAGAACGTTGGTCAGAAAATACTAAAAAGATATCAGAAAATATTCCAAAAGAAGCTGGAAGTGTACAAAAGTTGCAAGATTTTCACCACTTAGTAAACATACAAATGAAAGATACAAAAAGAAGCGAGGAAGGATCAAAAATTAATGTTGAAGTCATTTCTCTGAATAGTGAAGAGAAGTGCTGTGATGATTTGAGTGAATCGTTAACTTTACACGCTGAGGGTGAAATGAAACATGTCACTGCTATTTATGAAAGGACGCAGGAGGGCATGAAAGATGAAGAAAGGGAATGGAAAAAAGTAGGCAAAATAAAGGATATCGTTGTAGATATTAAGCGTGTGAATGAAGCAAGTTCCGAATTGGATTTTGATGATAAGGACGCTGACATACCCAGTAAAAAATCCGGTAAAACGGGGGAGAGACAAGTAACAAAATATGGCAGAGCTATAGAGAACGTTGCAGGTGAACGGCATAAAATGGATGGGAATTATCCGCAAAATACGGAGGTCGAAATATCAGAAAAGCGCATGATTTCGCGTGAGTTAACAAGTGGTGCGGAGGCAGAAAATCAGATGTGGTCTGAAGAAAGAAAGGAAGGAGAATCCTCCTTCTTCAATGATGCTGAAGAATCGAATCATTATGATAAACATTTATTAGCTGAATCCAGCTTTCCTGATTTTACAGAAATAGCAGAAAGTTTAACAACTGCTGGGAGAGAAAACGAAGAGATTCCGGAAAAATACATAAAAGGAGAGCTGAATGGTAAACATAACGGAACTGAAATGGATACTGTCGAAATATTACAGATGAAATTAGAGTGTGTAGAAAAAGTGATATATGAAGTAGGGCAACAGCAACTATCAAAAAATGAAATTGCGTTAGGGGAGAGAAAGACAGGTGAAAAAGAAAAAAAGGGTAGAACTGAAGTCGGAAAAAGACCAACTGGAGATGTTAAAGATATAGTAATACGACTAGAAGACGGAAAAACAAGTGGCAGAACAAAAGAAATCTCGGAAGCATTTCATGAGGACACGATGAAAGTTCAAACAGAACAAATATTAAATGAACATATAAACACATTAAGTGAAAAACCCGTACCAAAGTATTTTCAGAAATACAACATTTTAGGACAAAAGAACTGTAGACCAAAAGAATCAACAACTTTTGAACATGAAATATTTGTCGAACAGGAGAAGTCTAAAGGTATATTATCACTGAAAGCCATGAATGGAAGTCAAGAAAGAGATGCCGAACGAACACCAGTTGTAGAAGTGTTCTCAGATCGAAAGAATGGGAAACAAAAAAATATGGAATCTGAAAATAATAAATACAAAACAACGACTACTGAAAAAGTTTATACTGAGCATCTAAAACCACAAAACCTGATAGAAGCAGGGTTAACGCCGTATGAAGAAGTGTTAGAAAATGTTTCAATGGAATATGAACAAGGAGCTATGGCAGTGCAGTGTGAAATGTCAGATATTCATTCAGATCTGATAACATCTAAAACAGCAAAGAAAGAAAATCTAAAAAAAGATAGGACTGTGATCAACAGCAACCATGAAGGCGGTGAAACTTCTCAAGACGGATTTCTCAGCTTCGATAATAGTGCGGGAATAGTTTCAGCAAGTATGATTGCCACTCCTGTCGCCCTCGCAGCAGTAGGAGCTGCAGTTGCTTATGAATGCATGACAAATGAACGTCAAATAGCAGCAAATTCCGACTTAGAAGATAAAATGTTTAATATTAAAAAACTTGAGCTAATGTACAAAGCAGAGTCGAAGGAAACAGAAATCCCATCAAGCAAGCTTGAAGTTGGGGCAAAAAAAACAAAGCCATTTAAAGATATTGTGTCGGATAGAGAGGTTCTCGAGAAATACGGTACAATAATATCCAAGGAACCAATCACAAGGATAGAGCATATGGAAATAGAAGGTTGGACAGAATCAGATGAAAATCAGTTAAATAAAACCGAGGAATTCGAAAAAACTGAAACAAAAACATTTGAAGATATTATACCGGTTAAAGAAGTTTTCGAA